GCAGCGTGTGTGTGTGTGTGAGCGCAGAGTGTGAGTGCAAGTCTGATTGTCAATCAATCAATCAATCAATCAATCAATCAAAAACGAAAAGAACGAAAAAGTTCAAAAAACGAAAATAACGAAAAAAAAATCCAATCGAATTAGTGGATTCGATTGGATCTTGATAATGATCCAATATCAAGATCCAATCGAATCCACTGATTCGATTGGATTTTTTTTTTCCTTCTTTTCGTATTTTTTTTCTTGATTGATTGATGAAAAAAAAAAAAAAAAACCTATCCTCCTCGCCATCCTCCTCCTCCTCGTCCTTCTCGCCATCCTCCTCCTCCTCCTTCTCGCCGTCCTCCTCCTCCTCCTCCTTCTCCTCGCCATCCTCCTCCTCCTCCTCCTCCCCCTCCTCTTCTCCTCCTCTCCTCTTCATTTTCTCCTTCCTCCTCCTACTTCTCGTCGTGTTCCTCTTCTCCTCCTCCTCCTCCTCCTCCTCCTCTTCAATCAATCAATCAATCAATCAATCAATCAATCAATCAATCAATCAATCAATCAATCAATCAATCAAATCAATCGATCAATCAAATCGATTGATTGAATCGCATCTTGATTTGAAAATCAAGATCGGATTGAATCAATCGATTTGATTGATCGATTGATTTGATTGATTGATTGATTGATTGATTGATTGATTGATTGATTGATTGATTGATTGATATAAAAAAACGTCGAAGTCGAAGTAGAATAGGTATCTAGATGGCCCCGAAGTCGAAGTGGGCAGAAGTAGCCATGGCTAGTGGTAGTGGCGGTACCCCGCCATAGTTATAGATAGCGCGCAGCGTGTGTGTGCGTGAGCACAGAGTGAGAGTGCAAGTCTGATTGTCAATCAATCAATCAATTCATCAATCAATCAATCAATTACTCAATCAATCAATCAATCAATCAATCAATCAATCAATCAATCAATCAATCAATCAATCAATCAATCAATCAAAAACGAAAAGAATGAGAAAGTTCAAAAAACGAAAATAACGAAAAAAAAATCCAATCGAATCAGTGGATTCGATTGGATCTTGATAATGATCCAACATCAAGATCCAATCGAATCCAGTGATTCGATTGGATTTTTTTTTTCGTTCTTTTCGTTTTTTTTTTCTTGATTGATTGATGGATTGATTGATTGATTGATTGATTGATTGATTGATTGATTGATTGATTGATTGATTAAAAAAAAAAAAAAAACCCTATCCTC